AAATCTGCTACTTGCCCTTCTTATTTTGTCATTGGACACTTTATATACTCATGATGTACTTCAATGACACATTTTTATATAGAAAATTCAACACGAAATATGATTTTTATGACGAGTTTTTCATATTTAGTGAACAATCATACCAGATGACGACCATTTAATCGATAGTCAATCCAAATACAAAATGTCGAATGTCAATAGATTGCTTTTGAATGACATTACACACGCAATTATTTTAAATGAAATTCTTCCTTCTTTTCACTAAATATGGATAAATCGCAAAAAAACATATTTCTAGTTGACTCATTTAATAGAAAAAAATGTGTCATTGAAGTACATTGATATATAAATAATTGTCCAATGATGAAAAACGAAGGGCAAATTGTTCTGATTGCGATTCAAAAGACAGGCGGAAAAGAAGTTGAAATTTGTAACTTTATAGTGAAATATATCTTAATAAATAATGATTTGTTCAAATTTTCATTATCAAATTCGTGTTTTCCAGACAAAAATACGTATGTACCAGACAAAAATTTCGAAAAAAACCCATCGCATGATAAGTGCAGTTTTACCTTAATTTTATAAATGAAATGTACCTACTGACACCTACAAAATATTGAGCTTCAAAAATGTTGTTCCTAAACATTAATTATTCGTATTATCTACCAATATGCAACACAACCTTTATTTTCTAATGAGATTGATCGATTTATTTGAGTTTTCCGGTAGGTATCAGAGATATTTCAACAATAGCTATCATAATCGTGAATGGAAGATACTCAGCAAGACGGAATTTACACACAGTGTAAAGTGAATTAATCACACATTGGGACTTCGTCTCGGAAAGTGTTTGGAATTTCTTCTCAATTCTCAATTGGATGAAAAAGAATTCTCTTCTCCAAATGACATTAAAAGTGGCTTTTCAATGACACATAACATGCAAAAAAGGTGCCTTTTTACTGCTTAGGCAGAAACAGTTCGTTGCTGTGCAATGTTCCAAGTAATTTGAATCAAAATTGACAATGACTTTGGGTGAACAAAAAATGATAGATTATTTGGACTTTGGGTAAAATTGAACAGAATTTGGAGAGAAAAATCATGTTTCACATGACAGAAAAGAAGATGCAATACCTTGGCTGGTTTCCTAGCCTCGGATACGCCTAGGCTATGGAACGCCATCAGCCGCGGCATTAAATCTTGTACTTTTCTGCCTAGTAAAACGAGCAACTATTTTCTCCAAATGGCATCAGAAAGTGGATTTTCTATGACACTTAACAGGTAGCAAAGGTGTACTCTCTCTGCCTAGGCAGAAAAATTTTTTTTGCTATGCATCAACGTTCCTAGTAATTTGAATGAGTTGGTAATCAAAATTGATACTGACATTGGGTGAAAAAAAAAAAGATGGAGTTTTCAATAACAAAATTAAACAAAATTGAATTGAATTTTGAATTTTACGCACTTCATAATGAAAGATTAACGTATAATAGTGTTTTCTATCAAAATTGTATCAATTATATATTCCTACTTTGTTCCTAGAATCACGCTCCTATTGAAAATATTCTACCAAGAAGTATTCACAATGTAAATAATACATAGGACATTCAGGTAATACATTGAACGAACGTATATAAGAACATACTTCCCTTATTTTGGAATATTCCATGTTTCCAATAATTCTTCCTATAAATCCAGAGTGAGCGTATGTTAGTGGAATAATGGATTTCTATTTTTGAATTCAAAATATATTCAAAAACTGATTCCCAGTCTATATTGTTTTTCAAACAAATGACTCAATAATTCTCATAATCTAATAGTATTTATGTATACAGAGAAGGTGTTATTTTTAGATCCTATACAGGGTGATTTACGTAGGCAACATTAGAAGTTTTCCAACTTGTTCGTAGTTGGATTAAAAATTTCCAATTTCCAATCTAACAAATATTTGCATCACTCCACCTGGACAGGGTGTGCCAAAAGTCGGCACCAACTTTCTCATTTTGAAAAGAAACCTACATATTTTTCACGGTTCGCTTGTCTTTTGAATTTCGAGTTTGGACAACTTAATTCATGTCAACTTACCTATCACAGTTTTCTAGATTTGTCGCTTTATTGAAAATAATTTCCGCCGTAGTGATTTACAAAAAAAAAAGTATCTCGCAAACCGTTCAAATTAAAGCACCAAATCCGTTAACTGGAAGTTCAGGGGTGTCCCAACGATCTTTTCGCATTGAATATTTGCCGATCACTCTTTTTTCTCTTTCAATTGGCACCTAAAACCTACGCCTTCTAGCCACCAAAAAGAACACTTTTTCAAAGCACTCACCTTGATACATACGAAAAATCTGTAAAATTACAACATGTCGCAAGTTTCTCCATCAAAATCTCAGTTACTCAACAAAACTTATGTTGAACTGTTGACGAGTATATTTCTATAAAAAAATTATTTCATCGCCAGAAATGAAGGCACATATCAACAAAGCGCTGTTTATTTTCCTAATGGAATTCCATCCAAATATAATATCGCATCGAATTGACTTGGAACGTCTTTTTTATTAATAAAATATCGGTTTAATTTTAGATCACATGCGTATAAACTGTGTTCCAATGTAAATAGCGATGCTGGTACATATGGCATATTAACGTCATATACGGCGTTGGTTTCGATTTAACACGTTTTTTCTACTCCATACTACAGTCTATAGTCGAATTTGTCAACAGGTAGTACCACTTAAGTAGTTAGCAAGTATGTATGGATTCAAGATTTTTTTATATTCATATTTTAATATAATAATAGTCCAGTCAATGAACGGGCAGTAGAGGCCATGTAGATTGTACCGGGTGAGCAACTATAAGAACGGCTGTCGGCCATATCTCAGCAACGAATAATGATACAAGTTTGAGATAGACTAAACTAAATCTCAACATACCAACGAAAACCGCAAAATGATAGCTTTTCGCCAACGGAAGATATTAACTATCAAAGTTGGAAGAATGATAGATATCATTATAACAGCCGTTCTTAGTTGTTCAACCGGTACATTGTAGAAATGGGTTGTATGGGCTGGAAGAACTCTCGATCAGTGCGACCTAGAAGATCTATTGTGATTACCCTTATCTAGTTTTGTCCCTCTAACCCTAGACTTCTCATGAAGCCTAGAACTTTCCACCTCAGTAGGTTGATAGACATGTTGTAGGTGATTCAGCCTTTGGCGGACAAATACTTTACATGAGCAAAGTATGTGTTCCGTGGTTTCGGTCGCATTGTTGCAAAAGCGGCAAGTGTCAGTCTCCGCCAGGCCCATTTTTTTGAGGTGGTACCTCAGAGGGCAGTGTCCTGTGAGAAAGCCAGTGATGAGCCTCAGCTCTGGTTTGCTGAGGCTGAGTAGCTCTTTGGCTCGGTTCTGCGAATGTTTGATGAACCTTTTCGCTTGTCGTTGACCTGGTGTTGCTCTCCAGTAGGACTTTTCAATTTCTTCCCATTTCCTGAGTTCTCCCTTTGGGTGACATTTGCTTATCCCACAAAAAGGCTCAGGACCAAAGAGTGCAGAATTGCAGATGCTGTACCTTTCTTTGCAAGGCGATCAGCTGCCTCATTTCCTTCGATTCCTTTATGTCCTGGAACCCACATAAGTGTGACTTTGATGTCCTTTCCCAGTTGCATGAGTGATTCAAAGCAGTTCCATGTAATCTTTGATGTGAAAACAAATGAATTTAGGGCTTTTATTGCGGCTCGGCTAAAAAAAAAAAGCAGCCTGGCTGCCATTAAGTCCGATGGTTTGGTTGCAGATTTCATTTGTACTTCTTGTAGAAGTACCATGTGACCAGTGACCGTAGATGCCATGTAAGAGGACATAATTCTTTACTTCGGGAATTTGCTTGGGGTAGTTCGAAAGTGAAAATTCCAAAAAGTCCCTTTTTGGATTAATCGTTGATATCTCAAAATCGGTACATCAAAGCGAAAAAGTCGATCGATTCATATGATCGATGAAGTTCTCTACATGATTGTATCAACAGGTTTTTCTTCCATCTTTCCTAGTGTTCGAGATATTCGGTAGCGAATCATGTAAATTTTTGAAAATCCCTTTCTTTCTAGCGTATTTTGACGGTTCAATCTTCAGTTTTGCACCAAAGTCTTCGACGATAAAGTCGCATAAACATCAATTACCCTCAAAATGTTATGTCACATTATGTAGTTTTTTATACAGGGTGAATTCGATGTAAATATTTCAGAGGACGTATTTTTGGGATCAAAATAAGACATAAGATTTTTGGAAATGTGATCATAATAACAGATCAAGTGCAAGTATTCCAGAACTGCACGCCTCTGAAATAGCAATCTGAAATGTGTTCCGACATACATACAATCACCTCTGTAATCAACCATTAACCCTCTGCGTTCGAAAACGATGTCGTGACTTCCCTTTCATTACGATTTTCTGGGAAACGGTTTCGTCACATGTGTGATAAATCGGTGAAATCGGCTCTTCTGGGAGAATCTAAGAATGCAATGAAATACTGGGTGGTATTCCATTTGAAATAACAAAGTTGTTGCTACTTTCTAGTTGAAGCGGCAACACCGCATTGTCGAAAATGTTTTAGACGGATAGAGCATGCTTCATTATCCATGCCCACAGATTTTCGGACTGATCTATCGTTCGGTACTCCAGACACGTCTAATGTTCGATCCACCGTGAATCACCTTGTATTAGATGTCATTCAAGAACAGAGCTGTTTGTTATCAGTAGTAATTTCCCTAGAACATTGATAATAGACGAGGTAATTTCATGACAATCGAAAGCTCGTGCAATGAGCTAGAGAAATTGTTCATAAAATTGTGAGGCTTTTGTCAATGTCCTAGGTATATTCGGCGGAAAATATTTTGAAGTTATCAAAGTCGATCGTGTTGTGATAGTGATTGACAATTGCACTGAATGCAGTTATCAAAATTTATTTTCAGGAGAATTTTTTTCACATTTCACAAAATGAATTCTTCTTTCCAGATGCCGCAAACAGTGCCTTCAGCTGGCTTCACCCCACCCTGTGACTACAGCGCATTCGCAGACAGCTTCGACCTCTCCCTCCTGCCCGAAAACGACCCTTTCTCCCCCTCCAATCTCTTCTACTCCTCCCCCTCTCCCTTCGAACCGCCTCCCGAAAAACCTAAAAGCTACCCCACCTTCTACACCGAAAAACCCGTCTTCTACCCCGAAGACCCCGAAAAATCCGACTTCTACCCAGAAGACCCCGAAAAATCCAAAAGCTACCCCAATTTTTACCCCTTATCTCCCCACGAGGACCTCGCCCCCGATTTCCAGACCCTGCTGGTGCCTGAGGACTCCCCTGATAGCTTCTCCAAGAGCTACCCCAGCATATACTTGGACGTGGCTAGTCCGGGACAGCCCTTGGCAGCCCTCAGTCCGGGGTCGCAGGGCTTGTTGAGCCCCTACGGGGGGTACAGACAATCGGGGGAGGGTAATTTTTACCCAAGTTCTCCGGAACAGTACACGGCTTCTCCCGGTTCGGTTTATTCGAGGTCGCCTTGCGGGGAGGAGTTTCTGCAGTACGTGAAGAAAGAGGGGTATTCTAGCTCGAGCAGCCCTTTGCACGGGTTCAGCACCTTTGGGATCAAAGAGGAAGAAGGTTTGACCTTAGATATAATCTCTATTCTCAGATTTTCTTTCGGTATCACCAGTTTTTTCTACTCACTGGCAGAAAAAAACGGCTACAATAGTAATTTACGTAACAAGTCCGGAGAATACTGTTTTTTTGGACGAGTAGACAAAATGATAGGCCAAGCCGTAGGCGAGTCCTGGAAGTCTGCAAGTCCAAAAAAACTGTTTTTGGACCTGTTGCGTGTAATATTTTTTCGGCAACCATGTAGAATAACAAATCAATGAGACACATTTCCATATTATATTTCTTTTTCTACTCACATAACTGAAATGGCATTTAGCGTTAGCGTTAGAGAATTTCTTAAATACATTACCATGGAACACAGTTTTGTTTTTTCTTGAATAATAAATTATCAAGCCATCAGCTTTCCTTGGTAACTAAATTTCATGCTATCATTCCGAAACATGAATATATACGATTGTCGAAATTTCATCAAAATCGGAGAAGAATAACAAAAGTTACAGGGCGATCCATTTGACTAAGTTTTTCTCTGGTCATTTTTTTATTATGTAGGTTATTGCCTCGGGGAACACCTCCCTTGGCAATGTGTTCCATATAACCTTCATTTGCAAGACAATATTTCTCCTAATGAACTTCGTAAAATATCAATTATTGAAGTAGTTAGACCTACCATCAGAAACAATAATCAAATTTATAGAACTTCAAACTATTTCGGATCATCTACAAAAAAAAATTCGCCTCATTTCTAAGAAAACAAGACTTGAGAGTTGCTTGTAGAACAAATAAAACGTTGGAAAATTCTCGATCACCAAAGTATTACGCGCACGAGTTGCGAACATATTTTTTTACAACCGTCGAAAAACATTGTTCTAAATTAAGTAATATGCTTTAGATTTAGATTTAGAATGGGGCCTTCGGGCTATCTGCCTCCACACCGCGACCTTTTCAGATCTATTGTGTCTGCCCTCAAAATCGATTAGAGTTCTTCGGCTAGCCCCGTCTTCTCTATGAGACTCCATAGGCTAGCTTTTAGATCCCCTGTGTATCTCTGGGCTTCTGGTTTTTCCTCACCCAGCGTAAGGAACCTTAGTCTTGACAAGCCCTCACAGTGGCAAAGTATGTGTACTGCTGTTTCCTCCTCTTCCTGACAAAACCTGCACAGCAGTTCTTCAGTCAGACCTATCGTACTCATGTGTTTGTTGAGCCTACAATGCCCTGTGAGAAGTCCCACTAGTATTCTAGTTGAACTTCGTTTCTGGCTTAGTAGATATTCTGTGAATGTTGGCGATGGTTTTTTAATAAACTCTTTTGCCTGTCTCATTCCTGGCGATTTGTTCCACCATTCTTGAGATTTGGTTTGCATCCATGATTTGATACTAGTCTTTTGTATAGCTTTCGCAATACCACAGAAGGGTTCTGGGCCATTCAGAGCTTTGTTTGCTCCTGCTCGGGCAAGTGAGTCTACCTCTTCATTGCCCTCGTACCCTGTATGTGCTGGTACCCATGCTAGAGTCAGTCTGTTCTGACTGCCCAGTGCATTTAGGGTTTCTAAGCAGTCCCATACTAGTTTTGAGTTAACTTGCATAGAGTTGACTGCTTTGATTGCCGCCTGGCTATCTGAATAGATTGCAATGGTTTTGCCTTTAAACTCTTGCCTTATCAATTCTTTCACGCAATGATGTATTGCAATAATTTCTGCCTGAAACACCGTCGCGTATTTACCTAAGCTCAGTGAGATTCTTGTCTTTGGCTTGGCCCCATAAATACCAGCTCCTGATCCAAACTCAGTTTTGGAGCCGTCCGTATAGACAGCAATGTCTGCATTGATAGGAGGTCCTTCCTTCCATGCCTCTCTGTCCGTTATACTTATTTTAAAAGTTTTTTCAAAGCTATATTTTGGAATTATGCCATCCGTTGGCATTCCCATGATGGGGTCGCTTTCCAACTCTTCATATAGCTTTCTATAGTCTTTACCGTGCGCGTTGCTTATGGGTGCTTGACCCCTTGACAATCTACTCACGACTGCTCTGGCTTCGCCTTGAATATATATTTGTAGGTGGTAGGTTCAAGAGGACCTCTAAAGCGGCTGTTGGAGTGGTTTTCATTGCACCAGTGGCACTCAGGCAAGCTTGCCTTTGAATAGCACTGAGCCTTCGAATCACTCCAGCCTGTTGTGTCTTTGGCCACCAAACTACTGACCCATATGCTATCATAGGCCTGATGACGCTGGCATAGAGCCATGTGGTCATTTTTGGTTGCAGTCCCCAATTTTTCCCGCACATTCGTCTGCACAGATTGAAGGCTACTGTACTTTTTTGAACAATTTTTTGTAGGTGTTGATTCCATGTTAACTTATGGTCAAAGATGACTCCTAAGTATTTTGCCTCTAGGGCGAACGGAATTTCTACCCCGTTGAGTACTGGTGACTTTAATCCTTCCAGTACTCTCTTTTTCGTGAAATTCACTATAGTGGTTTTATGAGGGTTCACGGTGAGTTCCTCCTCTTTACACCAATTGTCAATTATGTTTAGAGCGATTTGTGTGAGCTCCGAGACCGTACTTGCGAATCTACCTCTAGCGATAACCGCCAGGTCGTCGGCATATCCTAAGCAATAATACCCTTTGGATGTTAGCCTTTTGATCAGTTCGTCCATTAGAATGGCCCATAGTAGGGGCGATAATACTCCTCCCTGTGGGCATCCCCTATCTGCTCTAGCTGTCAGAGTTGTCTCGCCAATTGTGGATATGATAACCCTATTAAGTAATATGCTTAACTTGATAGGAAAAATAGTATTGAACTGGCTTGAAACACCTTAATTATTGTTAAACATCTAGAAATAAATGATTCTTCGGATTTTTGCTTGATTGAGGACCATAAAGGTTAAAATACAAAAATCTCATATAGTTCACAATGTTTAAATGCAGTGCGCGAAGTCGAAGTATGTATTTCGCACACTATTTCGCTCACGGTGTCGTGGTTTCGTAGAAAAATGAAAAAAGGGTCACTTCCACGTCACTTCGCATATTGTTATCAATGTGATAATTTTTTGACGTTTGTAAAAAAAATAATAAGATGAAGACTTCTAAATTCTGATAATCAAAGTGATATTCTTTCGTTCTGGACTAACTGATCATAATTATATGATATAATCAAAATGATTCGAAAGAACGCATATCAACTGATTCAGTTCCATTTCAGTTCAGTTCTAGTGAAATATTTCAGTTAGTTCAGATTGAAAGAATATCAGTCGAGAGTAAACAAACTGAACTGTAGATCATGTCGTAAAGTATACATACAGGGTGTTTCAGAGTGGTGGTGACAAAAGCCTAGGAGAGATTCTTCTCAACAAAATATAAAAATAAGTTCACATATTAGTCCCAAAGGCATGTTAAACCATTGTGGTTTATCAAATGGCACCTGTGCCAATCACTATCCTGAGCAAAGTGATTGATAAATTCAACTTTCCTCTGCGGAAACTTGTACTCGATTTCGCGAAGCAGAACCGGATTATGAAAAAACACTCATATTCGAGGGGGATATCTTTCTAAAATATTTTCAGCACTGCGGCGTTGCCGCTTCAAACGAAAAGTAGCAACAACTTCGTTATTTCGAAATGAACATCCTATATTTCATTGCATTTTTAGATTCCTGAAGAGCTGATTTCATCAATGTATCACACTTGGGGTCTAGAGGAAATGATTACATAGATATAGGGTGTTTATCTTTAAGAATTTTTTGTGTCGAAAATATTCATCATTGGTCAAAACGGCTTTCATGTCCCTATTTCAACTTTTGATTTAGTTTCTGCCCACATTCAATTGGAACAAATACCTACAGGGTGGTTCAAGATTCAGATTTCCGATCACCCCTGTATCTGTTCCAATTGAACATCAGTAGATAGTAAATCAGAGGTTAGGATAGGGACATGAAAGCCGTTTTCACCCCTAGTGTGATGCATTGAAATCATCTCTTCAGGAAAAATCTGAAAATGCAATGAAATACTTGGTGTTCCATATGAAATTACAAAGTTGCTGCTACTATTCGTTAGAAGCGGCAACGCCGCAGCGCTGAAAATATTTTGCAACGATGTCCCCCTCGTAAATGTAGTTGACGTGTTCCAATGTTCTTTCATAATCCGGTTCTGGCGACCTAGAGAGCCTCTGTTTCGTTTTCAATGGGCACCCTGTATGACTCTCACAGGCATAAAGGAGGAACTCACCGAGGAGCCAGACTCCCGCTGCCTGCGCCAACTGTTGGAGACGACCCCCATCAGGGGGCAACAGACCCCCCCTCCCCCTTCCCAAAACCACAAGCTACTAAGAGAGGCCCTCGAGGACACCAGCTTCCAGAAGAGGTTCAACGTGAGGCCTCTCGACCTGGGCCTACTTGGCGAGGTGAAAATGGAGGAGATGGAGGAGAAGGAGGTCGACGCGGAGGAGGATTATTTGAGGGGGTGCGAAGAGGGGATGGTGCAGGAAAGCATAGCGCCCGTGCTGAATTTGGCCATTGAGCAAATGAGGAAGGATGTGGACAGCACTTGTGCTACTTTGGGAATTTCCACCGGTGAGTTCTTGATTGTTTCATAGGAATGTTTGTATGTATGTCCTTTATTTAATCAACTAGCTGTCAAGCCCGGCTTCGCACGGTTGGTGTACTCATTTAAAAAAATCACAGGTTTGTGACCAATGCATTCCACTTTGAGTATTCGGCTTCTTCCTAATTGAAAATACGCTAGTCGGGCAACCATCAGCCACTCCCATTTCACCTAACCTAACCTAACCTAACCTAACCTAACCTAACCTAACCTAACCTAACCTAACCTGAAATGGGATCTTGTTTTGAAGGGAGTCGGACAGTTCGACCACGGGCCAGGTACCTGTTTTAAGTACACCAATCAGTTGGACCACGACCGCTCTTCGAGCGGATCAAGGTTGTATTCTAAGAATTGAAAAAATCACTATTTTCTTAACATATATTATTTATTATTGAGGTGAATTATAATAAGACATAATTTTTACAAAATCTTTTTGTGATGAAAGGCCATTTCTATATTCTGATATCTTAGCTTTAATAAAATCATTTTTTTCCTGTGTTGCACTTTCAGGTTTTTGGTGGAACATTTTACGGAATTTATTTCAATATTTATTTCTGCTTGAAAGTTCATTAAAATATTCACAAAATTAAACAAACTTGGGTAAGAATTATAAAAATTAGAATGAGAATGAAATGATTCACACGCGTTTGTGGTCCTGTACAGGGTGTCCCAAATTGCTTGATTTTGGCAGTTTTCCCTATTTCCAGACCAGGTAGAGGAAAACTGACCTAGGGTTCTAGAGCTCGATTTTCGTGAAACGTCGATTGGTGAAAACCGCATTTCGATATCTCAAACCGTTTCCGAGATATAGGCACAAATTGACATTTGACTGATTTCGAAAAATTGACATAACTTCTTTATTTTTGGATATTTTTCCAAACGGTGAAAACTTTCTATAGACACTTTATGATGAAGAATAAGATGCATATGTCAAAAAAAATATATCGCTTATCAATTGTCTGATATCATAGCCAACTTCGTTATTTCAAATAGAAACCATAGTTGGCTTTGACTCCATAAAATCGGAAAAAAAATAAGCTTTCCAAAAATATATATGTTAATATATTTCTAGTCATCCTTGCTGTTGATATAACGTATTTATCTTTGAAAATCACAATTTGGTGACATCTCAACTTAGTAAGCCATGGAAAGCAAGAGTTTTTTGTCAAATCAATAATTATATGATAATGATCGGTGTGATAAAAAACAAGTAATTGAATAAAAAAGTAGCAATATTGAATCGTTTAACAAAATATTTAATTCAGTAGGTAACAATGAATCTCCAACGGTTTATTGAGCTTATCACAAATAGTGTTCGAATTGTCCACCATTTCGGTCAAGACATAGATGGCATCTCTTCTTCACTGATTTCTCGGCGTTTAGGAGTTGTAACGGTGTTATTCGAGCGATGGCATTCCTCACTCTTTGCTCTAATTCTTGACGCGTTCCTGGTATGGTTTTGAATATTTGGTCTTTGACGAAACCCCAGATAAAGAAGTCCAAAGGACTTAGGTCCGGGGATCTTGCAGGCCATGGTACGGGGCCCTGTGTTCCCATCCACTGATTCCCGAACATTTGATTCAGTTTGTTAATTGTTACCGCCGCGTTATGGGCGGGTGCGCCATCTTGTTGATAAAACTTTCTTATCGAATCAGCAAGAGGCAAGTCTTCTAAATATGGTTCTACAAAATTTTCTAAAATATTATCGTATCTTTGGGCGTTAAGGTTTTCATCATAAATAAAAGGACCAATCATTCGTTGCCCCACTATTCCAATCCAAATGTTGAAACCAAATCGTCCTTGCATGTTTCTAGGTTGGAAAACATGCTCATTATGGTCCGACCAATGATGCCGATTATGCCGATTGAATATTCCACTGCTGGTTACTCTTGCTTCATCGGTCCAAATAACATTTCGTAGGAGATTCTCACTTTCATTGCAACTCCTTATAAACCAGTTGCAGAAGTTGATTCTGCGTTCTTGATCACCGGCAAATAATTGATGTGTGAGCCTGACTTTATAAGGTTTGAATTTATGTTTCTTGAGAATCCTTTGGGTTCGGCTTCTGCTCACACCCCTAGTTACTTCTATTTCTCTGGTGGAAACTTCAGGATTCTCTAAAACCGCTCCAATTACTCCTGCCTCTACTTCGTCTCTACCTTCAACGACATACTGTCTAGATCTGGGCTTGACGAATGATCCATGATGCATCAGGCTAGTTTCCAATCTATCAAATATTTGGGCGCTAGGCTGCTGGCGTTCAGGGTATCGTTCGAAATATAAATTTCTTGCAGCTTCATTATTTCGGCCTGATTCAATAAAGCAAACAAACATCTGGCATTTTTCAAAGTTTTCAAACATTTTGATGCAAGCAGGTGACAGCTTTTAGATATTTCATTTATTGTCGAACTGACAGATAAGCAAAACAACTCTTGCTTTCCATGGCTCACTAAGTTGAGATGTCGCCAAATTGTGATTTTCAATGAGAAATACGTTATATCAACAGCAAGGATGACTAGAAATATATTAACATATATATTTTTGAAAAGCTTATTTTTTTTCCGATTTTATGGAGTCAAAGCCAACTATGGTTTCTATTTGAAATAACGAAGTTGGCTATGATATCAGACAATTGATAAGCGATATATTTTTTTTGACATATGCATCTCATTCTACATCATAAAGTGTCTATAGAAAGTTTTCACCGTTTGGAAAAATATCCAAAAATAAAAAAGTTATGTCAAGTTTTCGAAATCAGTCAAATGTCAATTTCTGCTCATATCTCGGAAACGGTTTGAGATATCGAAATGCGGTTTTCACTAATCGGCGTTTCACGAAAATCAAGCTCTATAACCCTAGGTCAGTTTTTCTCTACCTGGTCTGGAAATAGGGAAAACTGACAAAATCAAGCAATTTGGGACACCCTGTACATACTATCTGTAGTACAAGCCCACATACTTGGGGGAAAATTTCTTTCTTCATCGATATAAGTTTCCACGATATAATCGCAAAATTTCGATAGACTTGGATTACTGGGCATTATTGAATGAATTTCTTCAGAAAAAAAGTTGAAATAATTTCAAATAACTTGAGCCGTTCTTGTTTGGTAATAAGCAAAATGCAACAGTACAAAACTGAAATGTTCCATCCATAATAAGTTAATAAAATTGAAGCGCAAAAATAAAAACAGATAAATAAATAAACAGACACATGAAGTGAAATGGAGCGTGGTGATAATAATAAAAAGAACAAACCTTTAATTCCTTATGAAGTAGCTTGGAGAATCTTTCTGTTAGATCTTCTAACGCCTGCCTTTTCAAAGTATTGCTAACCTGTTGTCTTTCAAGAGTACTATCTGTGGTACTATCTTCCATGTGATTATGCTCTAGATGTGTTTCTAAGATAGTTATTTCATCTTCCTCGGTATACATTTCAAAAGAACACTTTCTGTTAACACACCGCCAACGAATTTTTCCGCATTTTGCTACATTAGCTTTAGAAAATTTAAAATTATTCAGTAATAATAATTTGTGTCCTTTTTCACTAATCATACACTTCAAATCCATTTTTGTTGCAGTTACACTCAAACAAACTAAATTAACTAGATACTTATGAAGGATAATTATGCTTACTAGAACGTTTGAACGTTACTGGAAGAATTTTATTAAATCGATTAGAAAATAAAATTTTAACCTGGTCGAACTGCAGGGTAGGCTTAACTCGACTTTTTCAAAAAAGGATTAATACAGGTACTCGTGGTCCAACTGACCGGTCCCCGTTTTGAAGTGTCTCTTGCCTTGCCAGGTGGCGTTCGGCATTCGCGTTACGTCAGGTTCGCACCAGATAGCGGTCGAGAATGCTATCTGGGACAGCCCTGCACTGATGAGAGCCAAAAGCTCGAAACCGGTCTGCCGTACCAGTACCAAGCACTTTTAGTTACATTTGTACCCAGATAGTGTCTTATGAAAGTTTTAAAAAATATTTGACAAATGTGGCTTGAAGATTATTCTGAAAATAACCGCTAAAAAGTTTTAGAATCCACAATTCACAAACAAAAATACGACTTTGCATTTACAATGTATCTATGATCTGAATTATCTCTGGTATTTTTTCATTCCAAACATAAGACCATCGTGTTTATCATGTATTCTAGTAGGAAATCTACGTTTTGAAGAAAAACTGAAAAATTCAAATATCTCAAAAACTGTCAACTCTTGCATAATGCTTATTAGGGTTAATCTCACTCATTACCACCTCCCCTATATAAAATCTCCGAAGGAATGTATAGAATTACTAGTAACCCTGTATAAAAGTGGCTATGACTATTGTCATTCTATCATTATCTTTTGTATTTTTTTGTTGTTGTTTGTTGTTTTACATATCGAAAATCTCAACCCAATCGGTCAAGCCGTCTTATTAGTTATTACCCGTTTTCCCGTAGGAATGAAGCGTTTTTCCGCGCTAAAAAGTAGTCTATGTTCCTCAGAGATAATGTCAGCTTCTAATGGTCAAAAAAATTTTCAAATCGGTCTAGTAGTTTCGGAGCCTATTCAATACAAACAAACAAACAAATCTTTATTATTCCAGATTTTTTGGGATTTTCTCCCCTCGTTTCTATAAAATACAAATATGAATATTATTTGAATATAATACGTGTTGTAAGGACGAATTAGATTCGTTCCCGAAACGTCCAAAGCTAAGGTAAAATTTGATATATTTTCTATATACCTTTATTTTTCTTCTCCAAACCTTTTTCAATACAAATTGTCACTGACAAGCTAGTGCATTTTTCTTTTAGGCTCTCTGATTTCTGAATAATATTCATATTTCCATTTCATAGAAACGAGGAGAGAAAATCCCAAACAATATGGAATAATGAATGTACCTCCTCCCCGATTAACCTAGTACAGACACTATTAAAACAGATCTTTCTCCTTTATAATATTAGTATAGAAGATTTTACATTATC